CCCATCATTCGACTAGCATTTGACACAATATATTTAACATGGTAACAGAAATTTAACTTACTATCAATAAAAACACCTAAATCTTTATGAATAGAGACTAACTCAAGTTCTTGCATATTTAATTTATAACGGAACAGAATTGTTTTTTTCTTAAGAGTAATGGACATAAATTTACATTTCTGAATGTTAAGGGTGAGCCCCCAGGTTCTGGCCCAATCAGCGAGGTGACTTGCGTCCTCCTGAAGTTGAACTGCATCCTGAACAGACGAAATTATTTTAAAAAGCTTAACGTCATCAGCAAATAAAAGTGAGTTTGAATAATTCAATTGCAACAGAAGATCATTTATAAATAAATTGAAAGGTAAGGGGCAAAGTATTGACCCCTGTGGTACACCAGAAAGTACAGGTATATTTCTATACACAGCAGCAGCAGTGATGAAGGAATGTGATACTGACATTTTCCCTAATGTATTTGTGCTTCTAGACTGTGCTGCACTATTCCTAGTGGTGGTACCCCTCTTCACCCCCTCCTGATTTTGTCAAAAACATTAAAAAAAAAAAAGAAATTTATATTAAAAGGAGGTGTTACAGACCCCCAATTTGTGAAGTCCGTCCCTTACCCCGTCTTTTTCGAATTCCTAGATCTGCCACTGATAATGGTGAATTCAAGTAGGTCCAGCAGTCCCGTTCCCCCTAATTTTTTCAAAATAAAAAAAAAATAATGGGGAAAAAAGAATAAATATATAAATTAAGATTAAATAAGACCTAAATTGTAAAATATTCCTAAGCTCTGTCCCCTCGACCTCAGCAAAGAGTTGACCCCAGCAGGGTGTTTACCTCTAGACCACCCCCACCAGAGCCATTTCGGTCCACTCTCTACAATTTCCCACCCACCCAATAAAAATCCTGCACATGGGCCTGATCATCTTGGTGCTCTAGAAATATAGCTTTATCGTCCCATACCATATTTTGCTTGTCCGTCAAAGTGTCAGTATTAATATTGTTTTTCTTCCCATTAGTGGTTGTATAGCAACAATGGTTCTACTGTTTACTTGCAACAGTTTTAATAGATTATTTGTCCGTCACTTTTCCTTGCTATCAGTTGATTAGTCAGCTTGCAGAGTTATCTATTATAACAAACAACATAAAAAAAAAGGAACCAGTTCATTTGGACAGATACCACTTTGAGCGAATGCTTGGTTCGGGCCCCCCCCCCCCCGAAAACAGTCGGGTAAATGTTTTTCATTCTTATTGCAGTAAATAGGCCTTATGTATGTATACGTAAAAAATTGAATAATTGCATACATATTCTTTTTACATGAACCAATAAATCCCAAACAGAAAGTGGGGGGGGGGGGTTCCAGAGGTTCTCCCTGGGAATATTTTGATTCCTTGATGCTGGGAAATGAGCTTTCCTGACTTCAGAGTTGTCTTTTAATGACTTTAAGTTCTTCAAAATTCAAGGTTTCCCCTCTTTTGATTTCTAGATGGTGGTAAATTTTTCTCCTCTTATTACAGTAAATAGGCCTATTATGTGTGTACCAGTATACATATGTTGCATACGTATTCTTTTTTCCATGAATCGATGAACCCCAAAAATAAAAAGGGGTTCATTTTGATTACTAGAAACTTTAGTGCACAGAGTTTTTTGCATTCAAAACAAACAGAAGTCCCACAAAAGTACAATTTTACTCTAAAAATACAAAAAGGAGAGTGACAAACAATAAGCTAATTATTCCTTTTGGATAAATTAACCCTTGTTATAGTTTGTGCTAAATGCATCTGCTTGAACTGGCATCCACTCGAACTAGCATTTGCTCGAATAAACATCCCCTCAATTTAACTGGCATTCAAATAAATAATTTCCACTCTATAATATTTGTATTTAAGATTTTTGATTCATATGATGTGAGATGGTTGTTAGTGGTACAATTATAGATTAATGCCTTTCAGTGCTTTATTGTCATTATCATCTTCATCTATTTATACAATTTTGTTAGTAGCTTAGATAAATTTCATATTTATTTTAATTATTGAAGCTTTGGAATGTGTATGTTCCTGTAGTCATTAATTAATTACTGTAGTTTTATCGATACATTCCTTTTATATATTACCTTTTACAAAAAATGTGGTGATCGCTTGCAATGGATAATAAGCAATATATAAGTGCTGCTGATAAATCAACAACGCAGTATTAAATAAATCAACCATTTGGTCGTGGAGCTTGGTTGTTAGGGTATTAGGGAGCTTGCGATTTGTTCGACGACGCGACGCCAGAACGGAATCACTCATGCGTGACCGCCCTACCTGGCATCCTCCTGCATACATAGATTTGTCCAAATTGCGTTCCAGAATCAGCTATTCGACGATGTGACCTTAACGTTCTCGCATGTGCAGATGACTTTTAGTGACGTCATTACGTTCTACGTCCTACAGTCATCATACCCTAGTACTAGAGGTGGGAGGCAGGTATCACATGACCATGTGGTTATATCCGAAGGGTGGGGGAGGTGTGTCCGAGGCACATTCATCTTTTATTAAAATGTAATCATTCTTAGTTCTTGTCGTATAAATAATATTTTAGTGTATATTTTATATGTAATGTTTTCTGTTATTCTGTATCCATGTTTGTCTTTACTACCCAGAGTATCATAATGTAGCATATCAAATATTCTGTTGAATGTATCAAATCTACATTCAATGTTTCTGTATTACTAGAAAAACTACCCAGGGAGCAGTGACAGTTGTACATGTTTTTTACTGTTTCCAAAAAACCAAGATGGTTATGATTTGAAACTTCATTAAAAAAAAATTATATAATAGGAAAAAAGTTACTGTTACTAAGAGTAAGACCATGAGATTTGAGACTATTTTATATTCATATATTATAGACTTGAAAAATCTTTCTTATCTGACAATTCAATAGCTTTCTTTCATTATATTTATCTGTATGTTGATGTTGATATACGTACATTTTCCTCTTGATTAGTATTCGTACGTACGATGGACGACACATCTAAGAATACCGGACTATTTTATTTTGAGATCAGAAATTTAAGCTGGAGACCTGCCTCATACAGTAGATGCTGTGTGAACCATGACTAATGGTAAATGTGTGTTTTAAAATTGTATCCCCTCGTCCATTTGTTGAGGTTGCACTTGGTACATCGGTATGATGTACCAAGTGACCAGGTGTGTTTGTGGTTCAAGAGTGTGGACCCATGATTGTTGGGTTAAATGGAGTTCATAAATTGCTTAATGTGTGCACTGCAGGTTATATGCTTTTAACTAAAAGCAAGAGAAACGTTGAAGGAAATTTAAATTTCCCGAGCCAACACTACTTCGAAAGTGCCTAGTATTGTTTCATGCCTCGTGTACAAAAAGTTCAAAGCAGTTGCCAGCGTTCATACTAATTACCGTCCTGTTAAAAAACCGTCAACATACCTTAAAACCTCAAATTGGAGCCCTGGGCTTCATTTTTTTTTTGTTGCAAATTTTGGGTGGACTTCTTTTCAAGGCTCTTTTGAAAAGTAAAGGGGGGGGGGGGCTTCTTTTCAAAATGAATGCTGTAAATTTTCGGAATTAATACTATAAAGCAACAAATAGGGACACTGTAACATCAATCTGTATCATGGAGTGCATTAACAGAGCAGAGTCTACCCTTTGATGCCCTTCCACCTCATAGGTCTTCCTGTCATGCCTACCTGTAACATTTTCTCTTTAGAATTTTTTTGAAATGTTATTACCGGTATATTTTATGCAGTCAAAAACACAAAACAGTACGATACGTAATGATTCAACTTTTTTAATCAAAATTTACAAGATATGATGAGTGACAGTATTTTACATGAATATTAAGTTAGCATTATAGTTTCCATACCATTGTATTACCATCTTAATTGTAGAGCTCCAAAACAAATAATAATCATAGGGTTACAAATAATATGGTACAATTATTTGATGATCAGATACTGTAGACAATAACCACAGAGTATTGTATAATATAACATTAGCTCACATCTACCTGCTATAACTCAAATTTAATAATAATAATAATATTCTTCTATAGCACATTCCGCAAAGACTCAATGCGCTTTACAAAAAGAAAACAAGCAGTGAATAATTTTGAGTTAAACTACGGTAAAACTATTTGTCTATCTTACATGTCAGGGTAAGAGCGTACTCGCAAATCATAAAAAATGCCACAATATCTACTGCCTTAATATAATTGTATTTATTTTGACGCATGCGAAAATAACGCACAACCACTCACATTACTGTCATACTTTAAAGGGAGTCTTTATCCACCAACATTCTAATCCATTTTCAATAACCAGCACTACAATACAAATAATTAATGTTTAGGAGTGCTATAGGAAAAAATATGTTCATGAGTTGAAAAATTTTATTTTCAATTCAATGCCGAGTTGAATTGAACAGTCAATTTTTCAATAAATGAAAATATTCTGTGCATTGCAAGAATACACAACATTCACTATTCCTTTTATTTTGCAGAAATGCATGGATGAAACGAAATTTTCATAAGAAATTAAAGGGTGTAAATATCCTAATGTCACATGATACAAAATCTACCAATCAAATAACAAGGACCTATTTGTGTGTTATAAACCACAATAATGAATCTAGAATGATTTTTCATTCTATCAATTACTTCTTAGGTTGCATTTGAGTGTGTTACTCCAGATCAAGGTCAAAAAAACCAATTTCAAACCAATCAAATATAATTGCATGACCTGAAAATATCTAGTCAGTCATACAATTTTGAATATATTTTTAATAACAATTATTTAGGGCCTAATATATTTTTTGATATCCCTATGTGTAAATGACAAATTCTGTAAAATAAGCAGATCATTCATAGAATCATATTCATAATTTAGGTCAGCTTTACACAACCTGTGGTCTGTCAAAAATTATTATTGGTCTGTCAAATGCTAAGGGACTCTGGGTGACAAATCATAATCTCATTCCATAGAATCATATTCATGATTTAGGTTACAGTAACATTAGGACTTATAAATTCTTATAAATATACAATTATAAAAATGACCAACTTCAGCCATTTTGTTTTTTTGTAATCTGACACAAGATGGAGACTGTCAGAAGCAACACGACGGTGTGCAGACTGTTTGCACATGAAACACTGAATATACAGTATGGTTAAATTTCTTTTAGAAGATAAAATATCTAGAACACAGACATTAAACAAAATTACTGAAGCCATAATATACCGGTCAATGTTTTCTATTGTTGCAGTTTACCAAATTTTTGACACAAATTAAAAAATTACCACAAATTTCAAAAAGAACCAAGTGAATTTTATACAAAGCACAAAATACTTTATCATAAGATATTTACTCATTTATCATATTATAGTTTTGACTGGGATTTAAATAATTACCTACAAAACGGAAGCATTGTGATATCAGATTTATATTATGTTGTATGAAATTCACAAACTTGTGTGATATATGCCCACATATCGGCTGGATGATGCAACAAAAAACCAATCAATCCATATACTTGTAGTGTTTCATTCTTTTGTTGGTTACCACATGTTTGGCACAAGTTCAAGTTGTATTTCAAAATATCATTGTAGATTTGCAGCTACAGTAAATATCAATGATAATTTTTTTTAAAACATAAAAAATATTTCAGAATTAACTAAATGTATTAAATAATATAAAACACAATGCATACTTCATCATAGCATATTTACTCATTTATGATTTAGTAGTTGTTTTTGTTTATGTGACATATTTTTCTGATGTACCCATATATGGGTCTGATGATACCCATATGGACAAGATGATATCATATTAAACCCAAATATGGACATATCAGTTATTTTTAAATAATTTTTGATAGTGTAGAGTCAGTTGGAAATCATGTAATGTTATGGTACTTCAACAATGTCTCATTAAGTATTGATTATCAAATTAATTTATGACATCCCTGCAAAAGAATATGAACGGCCCTCCCACTTTTTCTACTTTTGTGACTGTTCCCAGCGTCAGTGACATTGTCAGCGAATGCAAAGGCATTATTATATACTAAAATTTACCGTATATTAAGTGTTATACAGGCGAGTTATACTTTCATGAAGTTTAACAACTTGAATTACTAAATCCTGCATAACTGAACAAGACAAGTGGGGGTGGTTGTAATTTAAGAAAAGTTTCCGGTTTTTTGTTTTGTTACTTGCAGATAATAGCCCTTGATGGCTTTTGTAGCGTCAATAAATTGAATTGAATAAGGCTACTTCAAAAAATCCAAAATTTTGTGGATTTGGATTCTTACTTGTGCCCGCAGGCATCGAGTGGTAATTAATCACTGACAAAAGTTGAGGTCATCGAGTAGAGTACAGTTAATTATAAATGGAGTAAATTGTTCTGCATGGTTATTTCAAACCTGAAACCTAAAACAGTATCTTAAAATAATGTCATGATTATAATTTGTAACTTGCAGTTCTACTGTGAACAAAAGGCAAATTACAGGCAGATAACTTTGTTACAATGATACGGATTTTCATTGCTAGGGTCACATATATGTGGTACTTGACTTTGCCAGTAGGCATAGACTGGGTGTGGGACAACTGTAGGAAATTGCTGTTAATGCACTCCTCTGAAGTTGACACCACTGCTAATACAAATTTAATCAAAAATATTTGAATTAATAACTGTTACTTTTAAGAATTAAAAGAAGTTGTTTACAACGTCTACCTTGGGAGTCGTGTCAAGTACTATACTCATCTTCATAATATCAATGCTCACCAACCCTCTCCCCTGCGCTTGTTTCCTAAATAAGGAGTTGCGAAGTATCCGTTCCAAATCAAGGAAGTTGTTACACCCCTTGTCATCTTAGTAAGCCCACAATTCAGACAAATATACTCAAATTCAAATTCAAAAGAACATTTATTTACTTCCTTGAAACATAACATATAATGAAAAGTAAGTTATATAGTAGAGAATATAATATTGCAGAATATAATAATAAATTGGCATACACATAATGCGAAGGGAAGAAGGCAAATGCCCGAGAAGGTTGCAATAACCTTGTGTTGGCCCAGCCTGGAAACAAGAGACAAGAGTACAGTAAAACGAAACAAGAAGCATCAGAAACAGAAAAGACATACAACACAGACAAGACGACAAATCACAAGAAATAGAATGGGAAGAAATGATTATAGGAGAATTATTGATATTTGGCAATAAAGTGTTTTTTTTAATATTTTAGCTGAAAATTTTTTTATTGAATGTTAATTAACAATTGAGAGAAGTAGGTCGTTCCATAACTTAGGACCAGAAAATCGAATGTTAAATTGAAAATTTGTCCTATGATTTGGAATATGAATTAAAGACCTGGATTGAGTGAAATGTTCGTGCAGAGAGAGATTAGACTTAAAAATATGGCAAAAATGATTGGGAAGTAGAAAATTAACAGAAGAATATAGAAAGACATATTGTTGTATAATATTAATACTGGACGATTATGTTTTCTGCATCAGAACCATTTGTTTATCTTCAGTTTCTAGATGCCCTTTATAATCTCTCTTTTCATTCAAAAAGTGCCCTTTGAATTTTCCAAGTTCCCATAAAAACCCCCTCATCTATTTTCATATAGCCTTAGCGTCCCTTCAATTTCCATTCTGTTTTCACAAGACACAAGCGCCCTCTTTGAATAAATGCCCCGTTGGAGTAAATGTGTAAAAAAATTTGAAGCGGCCGGGCGAATATTCGTGCGAGTACGGTATTGATTCAACCAGCTTTTCTAGATGATCAGATGCAAGTATCCTCATATATCACCCTACGTAACTCAACATATGATTTACTATCAATATCTGATAGGTCATTGCCCTTCAATCTAAGCATGTTGTCTTTCAATACTACATTCATCCTACGACATTCATCCAACATTTCATTAACAGTACTACCTGATAAATTACAATTACTCATGTCAATATAGATCAGGTGTGGAAAAAACTTTGAAAGGCGAGCCAATTTTCTTCCACTGATTGAAGATAAGTTAATCCCACTCATGTCTATCCTTTTACAATTGAATGTCTTATTCTCAACTATTGATTCAACCAGCTTTTCAAGACTATCAGATGAAAGTGAGTAATCACTCCATGTGAAGATATACCCGTAATAAGGGTTAAAAATCACCCTAAATAACTCAGCAAGTGATTTACCATTAATATCTGAAAGATCATTACCGACCAATGTAAGTATGTTGTCTTTCAATACTACATTCATCCTATGACATTCATCCATCATTTCATTAATAATACTACCTGATAAATTACAATGGCTCATTCCAATATAGATCAGGTGTGGAGAGACCTTTAAAAAGCGAGCTAATGTTCTTCCACTGATTGAAGATAGGTTAGTCTTACTCATGTCTATCCTTTTCCAATTTAATGTCTCATTCTCAAATATTGATTCAACCAGCTTTTCAAGATTATCAGATGTAAGTGAGTAATCACGCCATCTGAAGGTATAAGGGTCGTAAATCACCCTAAAAAACTCAGCAAGTGATTTACAATTAATATCTGAAAGGTCATTGTCCCTCAATGACAGCATGTTCACTTTCAATACTACATTCATCCTATGACATTCATCCATCATTTCATTAATAATACTACCTGATAAATTACATTGCCTCATGCCAAAAAAAATTAGGTCTTTACAGACCTTTAAAAGGCAAGCTAATGTTCTTCCACTGATTGAAGCCAAGTCATTTTCATTTATATCAAGACATGTTAATTTCAACTTTACATGTGCCTTGTGTAATTCATTGATAACTAAACTAAATTCAGATGCTGTAAGAAAATGATTCATAGTCAAGTTAGATAGGTTATTTGCATGTTTCAGGAAATGAACCAAAAATGATGAACTACAATTGAAGTCTATTATCATATTAGTGAGATTATATGTTAAATGTAGGTTTTTCATCTCAGCTGATAGAATATTGATTTCTTTATTTTCACACTCTGAAATATATCTTAAAAACCGTTGTGTTTTGTATACCCTTGGTAGTACAACTGTGTTGTGTACAATATTTCTGCAAGAATTTCTTAAAGATTCTTCATTGGATGTATTTATCACAGGAAATGGTTTATCTACCTGTATGTAATGAAGATATTTATATTTTTTCATAAGTGTAAATAAATGCACATTTGATGTGTCTTCATCATCAAGAACACTTTTAACAGACTCCTGCATTTGCTCACAACGTTCTTTCATTTCATTAGACATTTGTTTATCCAATTCCTGTAGTACATGGTCTTCAAACTCCTTTTTTACATATCTCAAACATTGTGCTATAGAGTAATAATTTGAGGCCCTGATTATCAACCAATGTTTACACAATTTACAAGCATCTGCACCAAGAAATCCTATTGTAAATACTCTTGTCATTTGTAAATACTCATTACATCTTATCACCTCATATTCTTCAGCTTTCAAGCTCCCTTTTTGGATTTGTTCAAACAGGTAAAATCCTGCTAGTGACTCTGAAATTAATTTATGCGGGGAAGTGTAAATCTCTCTTACATCACCTGGGTAAACAGGGCTCTCTTTATAAACAAATCCAAAATCCAGTGCTAAACATACCAAATGTTTATCCTTTGTTTTCTTTAACAAAACATATTTGTCAATGGACAGTTTATTTTCCTTTAGACCTTCATATATACATTCTCCTAATATTTGAATGGCATGTCTGTATTCCTCTGGAATTCTCTCAAACTGGGAAATAGAACTTTCATTGCCTCCTCTATTTTGATATTGATTTAAAATGGAACAAAATAATTCCTTGAAAAGATCTGACAAATCTGTAGGAAGGCATTGCTTCTCTTCCCATATGGTACAAATCTTAAGCAATAACAGTGGAGATGAGCACAATTCAAATGCTTCTTTGTGATCATCACCAAACAAAAGATCCTTACCAATAAGTAAATAATCATCGTCATAATACCATTTAAAATAATCATCATTATATTTATCATTTGCATAAACACTATAATTATCAGAATAATAACTATCATCACCATCATCTACATATTTATCAAGTCCAAACTCCCTAACAAGTGAGTCACTGATTTCAGCTTTACCAATTGAAACAAAATGCTTATGTATATATTTCTTTATGTTTCTTGGACTGAACCCCAATACTTTAATATGTATATCACACCATTTGAAAAATTTACCTATGTTGTCAGGTCGGGATGACATCAACACGGTGCATTCACTCAATTCATTTCCTTTGAACAGATGTATTGGATCTTTAGCACCTTTTTCTAGCTCATCATATCCATCTAACAAAATCACTATTTCATCAGCATGGGTGACCAGAAAATCTTCAACGGAATTGGGTGGCAATTTGTTCTTTGATATTAATTTTTTCAAATCAATTTCCTTCATAATTATGTCTAAAAACTTTTCACCAGCTGTTAGGTCTCTAATATTTATCAGAAACAATACTTTATTAGCAAAAGCATTATCTATACCATCAGTAGCCCATTGATAGGCAATATATCTAAGGAGTGTAGTCTTACCCATTCCTCCTTTGCCTGTTATTAATACCTTACAAGATTCTCTTGATTTAATGACACCTAATACCTCTGTTAAAGATGTGGGTCTACCTTTCTTTTGTTTAGATGTTGACTTGGCTTGTGATTCTTTGTCTTCTTTTTTAGATTGCATTAAGATGAGTTCAGTGAATACTTCTGCAATATCTACTTCATGATCTTCATGCCAGATGGTTGGTGTCATTTGATTCACTTCCTGATACAAATGCTTTTGCCTTTTAGTCAAGGAATCTTTAATAATTAAATCTGGAATAAAATCAAACAAGAACACATTTCCATTATTTGAATTTGTTGTACAACTGTTTTAATCACAACGTCAGTGGTGTAATGTTGGGGCTGGGGGCCCTATGGCTTTTCGAGACTGGGGCTATTTTTGGGGTCCCGGTCGCAATTTTACTGAGGGATTTTAGATGTGCCCGTGTTTTCATCATGTTTGTCACTGTATGACGATATGATAAGTGACGAATCCAGGACTTTTACAGATGGAGGGTGTATACCATCTCAGCCCCACCATGGTTGGGGCTGAGGAAAGAAAAATTATGATTGTGGCACTTGAAATGGCACTGACAGACGCTGGAAATGGCACTCGCTGAATTAAACTTTGAATACTATTTTTTAAAATGACAATTGAGAGGGCCGTGTTTGGCTGTCCGCTTCCTTCAAATCCATCACTGGACATAATATGACCAGCAGTCGATGTCAGACACACATTATTCTGTGCAAATATCAATAAAGCATTTTTTTGGTCAGGGTACTATATAAAGATGAATAATGTAGATTTAAACATTTTTAATATAAAGGTAGCCTATTCAAAAGAAGAAAATAATATTGCTTTAATTTACTTAATATGGGCGTCTCCCTAAATTGAACCGTCAGAGGGCCAGAGAGTGTAAGCCTGTAGTTGTGTAAAGGCTAACTTGGACAGCGTAGTATGCCACAGCCAGATGCAATCTATTGTTGCATCGGTTGCATGTGACTTAAACACACAAGCACAAGGTCTGCGTAGGGGCAGTCGCATCATACAATTCTAAACATGTTAAATAATTTTTAAGACAAAAAGATTGTCCTTGATGAAAAATCGGGTTCAAGTTGTACGTTACTGTCTGAGTTAGCAGTAAGAAGCATAGGAGAGTGTCACTGGTAGTACAGTAGTAGGAGAGAGCACATCCATCAAGGTGCTGTATTCCAATGCTGGATACAGTAGTACTAGAAAGACTATCTTTAAATGTTAATGTGAGTATATTAATCATAAAAAATGCCACCATACCTCGTCTTTGCTGCTCCTGGTGCTCTGGGTCTAATGAAATCACATGTTCAGGATACTTCTGATTACCTTTACAAAATAAACACACAAAATTATACACATTCATAGACCAATTATTTCTAAATAAATTTAATTTGTAATGTTTTGATGTGAAATCACCTGGTATAACTCTTGTTACATAAGATTGAGGGCGACTACTCATGTTGAAATCCATCTGGTAAACTTGCCCCTTCCCCAATATTCTATCCTATAATGCTTCCAACAACAAATAGAGGGGATGATTGTAGTTATCACTGCCACTAAAAGTGTGCATGTGTAATAAATCCTATCGACTAGTTATAATTGGTTAGATGTTGTGAAATGATTACTGAATTAAAAGGCAAGACACAATTCCACAAAGTATAGGTTGCGGGCTTAATTGACTAGAAGAAAACTCCAGCACAAAATATCATAAACAACTGTAAATCGTCTGCTCTGAAGCACTAATTAGCATTAGTAATATACAGTAAAAATGATTACATCCAAAAAATTGAAAATGGATTCTAAAATACTGTGAGTTTCTTTTAAAAATAACATAGGATTCTTTCGAAATAGTACACTGTACATGAATTTCAAAATAAATAAATAATAAACACTTGGTTTCTACAGTATTTAGATGACTTAATGCCGGTTAATACATTCCATGATACGACAGTGGCTCTATTTATTGTTTTATAGTAGTAATTATACCCGAAATTTCCAGGCTTCTTTTTTTTGCCAAATTTGGATGGGCTTCTTTTCGAGGCTACATTAGCAAAGTAAGGAGAAGGGGGGGGGGGGAGAGCTTCTTTTGAAAATGAATGCTGTGAATTTGCGGAATTCCACTATAAAACAATTAAATAAGGCCACAGTAGCATCTATGGGTATCATGGAGTGTATTAACCAGCTGTAATAAACTAAACTACTGGATAAACCAAGCATGTTTAAAATTTTTTTTTCTTTGAAATTCATTTAGACCTACAGTTCATGTATTGTACTATCGAAAAAAGGTCCATGCTATCAAAGAAGCCTATGCTTCTTTTCGAGATGGGCTTTTTTTTAAGGCTACTTTTGCAAACTAAAGAGAGGGCTTCAATTCGAGATGCGTTTCTTTTCAAGATTAAGCCCATTGGGCTTCTTTTCAAGGTTTTACAGAATTTTTCATGGCATTGGACACAGCGAAAATTGATTCCCCCATCATTAATGGAATGGGCCCCGTCATGTTTGGCTGGCTAGTTTTGATTTACATTTCACATGTCTAGTTGTCATTGTAAAATGTAGATCAAACCAGTCATACTTGGGTGGTTTTTGATTTACATATTGGAAAAGAATTTGGTAAGTTTGTTTGATCATGTCAGACCTACCTTTTGAAACTTGAATTACATTTTAAAGAAATTGGAACTACATTTTGGAAAATTTGAACTACGTTTTGGGAAACTACACATACATTTTGAGAAATTAGACCTATGTTTAGAAAATTAGACATTGAATTTTGCATTTACATTTTGATTTTAACATAGACTTTTGCTGCGTATGGCACTCCATAGTTAAGTTCATATCAAGCACATATAAATTCAATAAAGTGAAATAGATACCTTGTGTAGCAGGTAATTGAATTGTGTTATTAAATATGTTAATCACTGAGTCAGTAATATTGCTGTTGACAAATTGACATCCAATTGTAGTACCTAAACAACAAAAAAATTAAAATTAACTGAAGCTTAATTCCTATTTTATAGTTCTGGCAAATTACAGACAAGCCAATTAAGGATCAAAAGCAATCAAAATGATAACAGAATGAATTATATTTTACATACAGTAAATAAATATTTGTATTTAAATTGATTGATTTCTGTATGAGTACTGTATACTAATATAATTTCTGTAACATTTCGAATAATAATTTTCATTGTGGTAATATGCATTTCATAATGGTCAAAAATAATGGCACCCCACCTCCCACAATCTAAGTAATAATAAGAATTTCTAAAAAATAAATTAAATACCCAGCATATATTCAATTACATTCAATTTTAGTTACATTACCATTACTGCTTTGAACCATATTGTTTACCATGCAAACATTGTCTGAAAAACAAAAATGCAACGATTCACTGCTAATTTTGTCAATTTAGGAAGGAATACTGAAAATTGAAGAAAATGTTTTTGTCTGAAAATCTTAAATTCTTCTTCAATAGTAATACAAAATACACTATTGAATTACGTATAATGCCATTACAAAATCAATAACATATTAATCTACAAATAGTTCAAACATATTCATATTGATAACAAATATTATTTTATTCATTACAGACAAGCCACTATATTTCCAATTGCTGTGATTGTATTGTACAAAGCTATGCTTTACCTGTAAATCCTGGAGAAATTTGCATTGCCTTCTCAATAGCACTGGCTACTGCCAACTGATCTGCTACCAAACAAAAAATAATTCACTTAAACACTGGTGAGGGCCGAGAAGAGGGCTCTAGACTTGCAATTTTGATAAACAACTTTAATTGAGGAGGTAAATGCTAATTATCCTATTGAAATTGAAAATAGTATTAATAATACAACTAAAGTATGGACCTAGAATATAAATTTAACAAAGTTTTTTTTCTATTTGCTTAATTTCACCATCACAGACAACACAGAACACGTTTTTGAATTCACTGATGTTATTGGCAAATGTCAGTTTCTAAACAAGTTATACTGGCTGACATTTTGTGGGGAGAGACGTTGTACTACCTAACCCCCTAAAACTTCACTGACTGTCAGAGGACTTACAAGAAGAAATGTAGAGAAATTTTTAACTTTAGAAAAAAAAAAATTTTTAACACAATTTGTCACCCACATACCACCAATTTCATTTTTTAACAATTGTTGTTTTTTCTAAAAAGGTATGAAAATGCAGGCCCAAATAGCAATTGAGATCTATTTTTGAAACAAAATTGGTCCACCACTATCAGTATCACTATTCACAATGTCAATATTATGGGTCTGATACAGACATGTAGGGTTATCCTGGGGCGCCGCCTTCACTGCCATAATCAAACAATGTACAGTAAGCCTTTTAAAATGAAATTATTATGTGAAAGCAGTTGACATAATTTAGTTCATGTGCCAGTATTTAGGGTTTTCGATGGTCAATCCCAAAGGTCATCTTATATGTAACTTTTTTGTAATGGTGTAACTATAGAGTTATGATAAGAATATTAGAGGGCTAACTCCAATGCATTCAATGTTCTAAACATGCAAAGCTGCGTGTGTGTGCCATCAAGATGGCTGTCGTAGATTTAGCCAATAGGAAGCAACATTTTCAATGGTGCCCTCAGTTTAACATAATTTTGAGTGAGCCAAATGGCCGAGCGGTTAAGGCAGGGGCACCATGATCATAGCCAACAATTTCGGCACAGGTTCGCGGCCCGCTCGCTCCTATAGTTCTGGTGGTAGAACAAGTTTTCTCAGATAAGGACTATAAACCGTAGGCCCAGTGTACACAAATGCTCATGTGCAAGAACCCAGTACATCTTTCGAGTTAAGTAGGGGGTTACTCTGGTGTACTGGTTCACTCGGCCCCTGTCGTGGACTGCGGTGGACATGAAGTGACCCTCAGGGGAGGAGAAAGCTATTGAAAAGTGCAACATCTAGTCCCAAGTACATGGAGACCTCGTTTATCTGCGCTATATAAATCCATCCATCTATTATTGTTATTATTATAAGTTTTTAGTACAGCTTAGTTACCCAGATGTCGAAACTTGAGCGTTGCAGTGTACCATATACGATTTTGATTTCTGTTCCTCAGTACAGTACTATATTTTTAAACCAGGTACTCTACTTGGCTTCATTTTGAGTAGGCTAGTTTAATATGTATCAACATTATTAATAATAATGATTAAAGAAATAATAGTTGGCAGTCTTAATTATGGTTGTAATATGTATAATACTAAGCATG